CTCTTCTTATTTACAAAAATGAAAGATTTCTCCCAACGCTTCCAAAACTCAACTTATAATATTTCCACATAAGCCTAGAGCTTCCTTTTTGAAACCTAGTCGTAGTCACATAGTCACTATGAACGAAGTACCAATTGCTTTGTCAAACCAAGTTTAACTTTTAAAGATCACATTGAGGGCATTCAAGCCAAATGTAACAAATATATAAAATGTTTGTATCCTCTTATAAACAGGAAATCCAAACTTTGCCTGACGAATAAACTTCTAATATTTAAACAAGTTTTTAGACCGGCCATACTTTAAGCTGTGCCAATATGGTCTAGTTGTTTCAGTACCAGGAAAAAAGCACTTCAAAGGATTCAGAACAAAGTTTTGAAGATAATTTTGACGTTGCCTCCCTTGTACAATACTACCGAGGTACATAGAATTTCGAATGTTGAGACTTAAGAACAAATCTAGATAAACATTTCAAAAGGTCCTATCTGCATTGATTTATTCTCTTCATCGACTTTCTCTTTCGTCAATAACTCATCTGAAAAACCTTTTCCTGTTGTATTTGACGTTTTTGACGCTAGATAAGAACCTCCTTTATCAAACTATGTGGTAGAATTAGCGTGAAATTTGTTTGCATAGCAGTGGTTATGAAAAGAGAAATTCGATGAAGAGAATCGATCAAAGCAGATAGGACCATTTGAAATGTTCATGCAGATAGGACCACATTTAATTTACAACAAAATAATTAATAATTTCAGGCAAAAATCGTTGCTATCCTCAATTGCAACGATTAATTCCCTTTATACTTAGATAAGATTTAGTTTTAGTTTTTAGTTTAAGATTTCTATTGTTATACTGACATGCAGGTTCAAAAAACCTGTTTAAAATACTAAATTGCCAAGGCAGGAACAATGTAAAAACACATCATAACAATTATGGCTGGTAAGCTACTATGGTAACTGGAGCACCTACGTTCAAATGAAATGTAATTTATTTTGAATTTGGAACAAATAAGAAGTTAAAAAAATGAAGCTTTAGTTTGATAATTTATTAGCTAGAGAATGACCTTTAGGAGAGGGTAGGTAGATAGTTCCGTTTGAGTACAGCAGTATGAAAATTGAATAGAAGTTGAAAATGAGAGAAGGGCCATTAATGCGACAGTACCATTCCCAAAGCTTAGTTTGATAGTATTCCCAGCACAAATCTAAGTTTGATAGCATTCTTAACTACAACGCCACTCATTATCAATAATTTACTCCAACAGCAATCACACACACGATCGAGTGTGACGGGAAAAGAAAATTCGAGCACCGAAAAATTACCAAATCGAGTGAACAAATTGTCATGGATACCGAGGGATACAACTACTGCTGTTTCAACTCCTGAAAGCTAGCTGATATACCTTAGTATCGTGTTGTAAAAATCGAAACCTCATTGTACGCACTAATAATATAAAGTTAAACAGAATTTTTTTGTTTCTTTATTTAAAAGGTTTTCAGCTGGTTCGCTGGTAGGCTGGTTCGCCTATAATGAAATTAATTCTATAATTCCTTAGAACTAAAAAAATACATTTACATACCGGCATTAACGAATACACGTAACATGTGGGATTAGAGCTAATTGGGGGCAAACGCTTATTGTAGGATAATTTGAAGAGATGACTTCCTGGTGTCTTCTGAAAAGTTATTAAACAGAAAATTTTCCATTTTTTGGGAACATTAAACATCCGGAAAGTCACGAGTTTGATCCTCTGGAAGACCCGGAATATCCGTAAAAGTGGTCAATTCATAAAACTAATCCTAGAGCTCCGCGGTTTTTTCGTAACCGCTCATAGACGTCTTATCAGAATTAATTTGGAGTTTTGACCTGAAAATGGACCCAGAGAACCATGGGATGGTCCACCGGAAGATCCGGAACATCCGTAAAAGTGGTCAATTCAGCGAATTTTTTGAAACTAAAGATGATGAATTCGAATTGATGAATTGAATGAATTCAGAGTTGAGTTCAGAATATGGACTCTGGAGACTACGAGTTGGTCCATCGGAAGATCCGGAACATCCCTAAAAGTGCTCAATTCATTAAATGATCCTTGAGCTCCACGATTTTTTAGAAAGCACTCATAGAAATCTTATCACAATCAAATCGGAGTTTTGACCAGACAGTTTATACTTGGGACCACGGGATGGTCCATTAAAAGACCCGAAGATCATTTAAAGTGATTAATTCATGAAACTGATCCTAGAGCTCCACGGTTGTTTTTTTTTCCAAAACCACTCATAAATTAATATTAATAATAACTCAATAAGACGATGTTTTCAAATGGCTTATTGATTAAATTTTGATGTGATGAATTAAAAATATAAACATTGAGGCTAGTCCCTCGTTAACTTGTAACTCCAAAGAAACATCTCCAATAAGTCAAGGGAAATATGTTCATGAAATCCAAGGAATAATATTCAAAAATTCCGTTTAAAGTGTCTAGAAGTTATTACTAATTAAATACCACCTAGAAATCAGCCATGATAATTAATAAAAAAAAATGTGTCTATGAGCAGTGCTAAAAACCACAGAGTGGTAAGATCAGTTTTCTTGACCTATCCACTTTAACGGATGTTCCGGATATCCCAGAGGACCATCAATGGACCCTGTGGTCTATTTTTCAGTCACAACTCCGAGTTCATTCTGATGAGTTGTCTATTATTTTCCAAAGAAGCGTTCATGATCCCCAGGGTCTATTTTCCGATCATAACTCCGAATTCATAATTATAAGACGTCTATGAGAGTTTACGAAAAAATAAAATCGGAGTTCTTGGATCAGTTCTATGAATTGAGCCTTTTTACTAATGTTTCGGATCTTTCGGAGGACCATCCACTGCACAATGGTCCCAAAGCCGTATTTAGGAAGACAAAAATGTTTGCGCCCAAACCTTAAGTTTTAGGTATATAGTGTCTTCGGGAAAGTTTCTTCATATTGTTTGGCCGATCTTCAAAGCAATTTTGATCAAGACACCAAATGTATATCTCTTAATGAGTTATGATTTTTTAAACAAGCAGGTTAGGATGGCCCCTAAAAATAGATTTCTTCGAATATCTTTTCATAAGTTCATTTCTCGTAAAAACTTTGTTTTGGTTACATTTAGAACTTATGATGACGCATATTTTTGCTCAAGCAACCAAGCTGCTATTTTTTTTATTACAAGAAAATGAATGGAGATTTTCTTCGAAAAAATTATTCTATATAAATGACAATGTCTCTTAATGGAGGAAACTGATTATCATAGTTTTGATTTCATTTAAAAGATAGTTTTTTTTTCATTATTGGTGGAAAAAACTGTGAGAGCGTTTTTTGTTTAAAATATTTAATTTTATTTAAAAAAACCTTTTTTTTTATCAAAAACTAGCCATAACTTTTAAATAAAGGAGATATCAAATTAGTGACTTCTGCAAAAATATGCGTCACAAAAAGTTTTTAAAATATTTAGAACAATGTTTTTATGAGAGTTAGGGTGGCCCCTAGAAAATCGGCTTTCTTTAAATATTGTTTATACGTTGATCACCAATAAAAATATTTAAAGAAATATTTTCTAGGGGCCAATCTAACCTACTTGTTTAAAATAACCATAAGTCATGAAGCATAAGAGATAAAAATTTGATGCCATTAGCAAAGTTGGTTCCAATTGATTGTTCTACAACTTTTTATAACACTACATTAGTCTATCTCAAGTAATAAAAAAGGTTGAATTTTCAATTCACCAATTTTAAGGACCACCCTAATTTCAAATCTGCTAAAAAAACGAAGAAACTTTCCCCAAGACACCATATACCTCAAAGTGATGGTTTTGGTGTTAATATTTTTGTCTTCATAAATACGGCTTTGGGACCATTGTGCATTGGTCCCCAGGGTCTATTTTCTGGTCATAACTCCAAATTAATTCTGATAAGACGCCAATGAGTGCTTTCGAAAAAAGCGGACCTCTAAGCTCTTCTTGAACTGAATTTTTTATGGGTGTTCAGGATCTTCCTGGTGAACCATCTCGTGGTCCCAAAGGTCAATTTTTCGTCTATGCGTTCTTATTCCGGTCACAACTCCAAATTTATTCTGATAAAACGTTTATGAGTGTTTTCAGAAAATTCACGGAGCTCTAGGATCAGTCTCATGAATTAACCACTTTAACGGATGTTCCAGATCTTTCGGTGGACCATCTCGTGGTCTCCAGGGTCCATATTCCGGTAACAACTCCGAATTCATTCTGATATGATGTTTATGAGTGGTTTCGAAAAATCCGCGGAGCTCTAGGATCAGTTTCATGAATTGGCCACTTTTACGGATATTCCGGATCTTCCACAGGATTAGACTTGTGTCCTACCGGAAACTGAATCATCCCAAAAGGTGGCCAACTTTCTGCTTAACAACTTCTCAAAAGACATCAGGAAGTTATCTCTTCAAATTGCCGTACAATCAGTGTTTGGTCCCAATTAGCTCTAATCCCATATGCTACGTGTATTCGTTAATGCCGGATCGACCGTACTATAGGAATCCAAAGGCATCAGTACTATAGGAATCCGTCAAGAACGAATCCGCACTATAGGAATCTAGACTGTATATGAAATGCATAAAACGCATTCAGTTATAAATAACTCTCCAATTCGACTGTATGAATGTGGAATTGCCCCCACTTTTGCTCAAAAATAAGACAAATGAAGCATTCTAAAGATTAAGTAGTTTGATAAATTATACTGACACGGAGTTATAGAAAACCTTATAAAATACTTACTGCTAAGGCAGAAACAATGTAAACACACTCTTAACAAAAAGGTTTGTAAATTGATAATTTTTATTTTTATTTTTTTATTGTACTAAATTTATAAAAGTGTGTTAATTGGTTAAATCCAATCATTTGTATGATGCGATCTAAAACAATAAGAACAGCCTAAATCTTCTTGCGAACCCTCGTCAATAATTTGTCTTATACCTTATATTTTTACTGTTTTTGTATATTTATTACCTTTTCTGCAGAAACACTTATTTCTCACATCTAGATGTCCATTGTCAAGAGCATTTTCTTCGAATACAAATCTAGTTGCTTGGATACCATCAACCTCATAATCACTGCCAACTTGTACCTGTAAAATGTCAAATCGCTATTAATTCCAATATTTATGCCGCACTCACACTTAAGTCTTAATGCGTTAATGTAATGCTTAAGTATGAGTGCATTAAAACGAGTTTCTAGCAGGATCTCTGAATATTAAAATGTGATCAGACTTGGATAGTAAATCGCGGTTCAATGTAAATGTGTGATTTTTTTCATAAATCCGATCTTTATTCAACTGATAAATGTTCAAGAACCAGCGTGACGAAAAAATTAGAACAATTTATCCTAAATGAGTTTTGAAAAACCTTGATGAATCGCGTGGTTTTTGAAGCAAAATCACGTGAAGTTCTCGGTTCACTACTCAAGCCTGAATGTGGTAAAACATGTCTCTCTATAGAGCCCTTACTGTCATCAATATGACGTCTTTGGCCTATAGGAATGAACGCGATGAACCCGAATTCATCAGTTTGACATCCAGTGGTGGTTTGTTTACCTTTGCTTTTTAGTCAATTCAAGTGGATTTGAGGTTTTAAATAAAAAGAATTAAAAGATATGATATCCGACTATGTTCATTTGAAAAATATTCCTCTCCAATAAATCTAAAAAAAAAAAATAATACATTTTTTAAACTTTTGTAAACAAACCACTGCCAGATGTCAAAAAAGTTAGGTTACCCCGACGGTGCAGCTCCCTAAAGGGATGCAGCACACTGACGTCACGAATGAACGCGTTCATCAGTTTGACATCCAGTCGTGGTTTGTTTACCTTTGCGTGTTAGTCGATTCAAATGGATTCGAGTTTTTAAATAAAAAGGACTAAACGATATATTATTCAACTTTTTTCTATTAGTGGTGCTGGTAGTGTAGTGGTAAGCGTGATTACCACTCACCCCAAAAGGCCTGGGTGCAATCACAGTCGGCACCGCCAATATTTTCTGAGGCATAAAATCGCAGATCACGCCTTTTCCGGGGAAGGGAAGTAAAGCCGGTCCCATGAGTTGATGGGTCGGTAGGTAGGGTCCAGGTGTAGGAGCTGCCTCCCTGGCGTCGGTAGCATTGGTACTCAGTACAGATTGACAGAAAACAAATTAAGGAATAACTATGCTCTGTTGTTAAATATTTTTCTAAAAAAAAAATCGAATAAAAATATAAAAAAAAAACAGATTGTTTTCTAAGCCCCAATAAACACACCACCACCAGATGTCAAAAAGTGAGGTTAGACCAACGGTACAGCTCCTTATGGAGTGTCACAAATTACTATACTCACACTTATGCTTTCAGAGATTTCTATAGAGATCTCTATAAAGATCTCTGAATGCTGAATGTCCTAAAATGAGTCATAATTGCCACGAAGATAATCATGGATAAACCAAGAAAACCATGTAAAAACTATCAGTTTACTGCACTTATACTTAGAGTGACGTATTTTAGTGCATTCATCCTTAAGCAATCACAGAACACAATAGGGCTACTCGTATTACCGGCATCATACATAAACATTCAGAGATCTCTATAAACAGTTGCACTGAACATTTTTATGACACACGAAAGTTTTATTTAGATAGGCAAACTTTATAATGCTTTTTTTATCTTTGATATTTAATTCTCCAACACAGGTAATCCAAACATTCTGAGCCCGTCTCATGATGTCAATCCAGTATAAAAAAGTCAGCACTTATTTAAGCTTCTCTGCATGCTCATTTTTATCTTTCAGATATATGGAAAATTCCAAGAAATTTGTTTTTTATCATTCTTTAGAAAATTAACGTGTAAAAGCATTTTTTCTGATTCATCATTTTAAAAAGTTGGGTAAAAACAAAATAGTAAGGTATAGTATTTGCGGGATTCATACCCATCATGATATACCTAGAAAAATGTGTTTGGACGTAGTTATTTTTGAGAATCATAGGAAAAAAAACTGTTTTTTTTTTCAATTCTTTATTGGTATGACACTGCTTGGATTTTTTAAAATAGTTTTTCGTATTTTTTATAAATGTCTAAATGTATTTTTTTCATTGGCAGCAGTTGCTTCGAAAAACTTCAATAATGAAATCTATAAACTTAGACTGAAAAGTGAAAGCAAAATCTAAAAATTGCCTAACTATAGATAGCGTGATCGACACCGAAAAGTACAACTACAACTGCTGGTTTCAACAACAGCTGTGATAAAACTGGTAAGTGTATTAACTTGTGTTTGGATTAAATTTCCGTCCTACTAATCACAACTTGCGCTTTACCTCTATTTAAGAAAATGCAATGTTTCTATTAAATAAAGATTATTAAATGAATTAGAAGGCATGATTTACCTTGCCTTGTTCACGTTTTGGTTTTATTAGAGACACAAATTGTTTATATTTTATTAAAACTTGCGCTCTTGACTAAATTGATATTTTCATTGTAAATTATAGTAAATCACGCATAGTTTTCATAACAATTTCATAAGGAGCAACCTTAAAGTGCATTATTATCGGCATGCTTATTAGTACTATGGGATGAACTTGCCATGAGCGGTAGAGTACTTCTTGATTCCAAATTCGTCATACGAAAGAAGGCAGCAACAGCTTTTTTTTCCGTTAAAATATTTTCACCTACATTTCGCGCCAAATCGAATCGAAGCTGGCAACACCCTTTCAGATTTCAATGAAATTTTCTGGATGTGTATACTTTGACTAAATAAGCACTTTTGCATACTCAGTTTTTCAAAAAATTATCTAGACTAACATTTTCTGCCGAATCTTTAAAAAAAAATATATATATGGAAAAATGACAACTCCTACAAAAATGTGTTGTATGGATGACTTTTAGGAAATTGTCAAAGTTTTCGAAAAATAAAATACTGAAAACAATTCAATTTGAGACCCACACTGAAAAAAAAAAATCGATTTTCAACATTTAAAGCCGATTAAAAAAATGGCCATGTTTGATTTCGATGAAACTGTGCCTCAAGATAGGTAATTATGTTTACTACCATCCGTTCATACATCGCAAAATGGGCACTAGTGAGGAAAAAAAATTTTTCTTACAACTACATCTTAGTACAACTGCACTATTTTTTTTTAACGTACTATTTTCACACAAAACTATATCAGTGAAGGGGATGACCTCGGCGTAGTGGTTAGCATCCATACCTCTCACGCCAAAGTCACGAGTTCAAATCTCACCCCCGGATAAGTCACGAATGACCCAAGAGCGTTAAAGTGACTATAATAAAATAAAAAAAATATATATATATATATATATATATCAGTGAAACTCAAAATCATTTCAGAACCCAATGAAGCTCAATTTGTGATTCAATTTTGTCTAATCAACAACTAATCACTTGAATTAATCGAGAATTCCACATGAAAAGGGCTTATATTATTAGAAAATAATATATTTGATTATATTGTCTGAGACAAAATCCGATGCTTCTATAGCAACTTAGCATTCTTAGCTAAAATTATCCTTGAAAAATAAGGTATGAAAACAAATTAAAATTTAAATTGAGATCTTCTTTCGTATCAACAACGAAATAATTCTATATATTATATTCTATAATTATGTTATGTATTCCTTAACCATTAACATTATATACCTACCACTTCATTCTACCTATGAGCACTACAAAACTAAGGTTTATTTCATACAAGAAAGATAACGAAAGTTGTGAAGACAAGTTTTAGTAAAATTATTATCATGGACCAAAGTAGTAAATTAAGGCTCAAAGGATTGAAATGTTGTGCAGATATAAATAATCCGAGATGCATCCGAAATAAGTTACAGGCCATATCGTGAACGATGGTAGAAAAAAAAACATTCAATGGGATATAACCAGATGAGTCATGCCGTAGCGTGATATCTCAAAATAGAAGTCCAGTTATGAAAAAACACCGATCGATTGAAAATGAAGCAAATATCCAACCGTCAACTTAGTGGGCAGCAGCATAGTGATGATCCAGGTCCATCAACGAGTAGATGAGCTAGGTAAGAACAGTCATCCTCATGATTCTATCAACATTTAACTGCAACCTCCTAATAGTACTTATTATTTTTTTAATTTTCTTCTTTCCTTCAGATACGGTACCATCGGTTACATCATTGGAGTCGGTTCCATCAGCAGATAATCTGCAACACCCATACAATGTTGAGATGTTTAATGGCTTTGTGAAAACGTTGAATTTATCTCCAATTTAATCGAGGAACATGAGGAGCATGGATTATCGTTCGAAAAAAAATCTCTAGAAATTACACAAGCAGTGCAAAAAACTATATATGGCCTAGATACAGCAGACATAAGCCAAGTAGAGGCATACGAAGAAATGATTGTGCATCTAAAGGAGAAGTTTAATTCTCCTACAGCTGACAGAAAAGATCAGATAACAGTATTATCAGTATTGCCAAAGTCTTGGTCCGTGAATAAAGTCGTAGCAGAATTCAACGCGTCAACGTACAGTATGCAAAAAAAGTTTATCCACCCCCCTACCAATTTACATTTTTTTTTGTTTTTCTAGTGAAAATCAGTTTAATTTTATGAGTGTTCTTCCATGATTTATCAATTTATGTTTATTTATCACATTGCCATTGAAAATACGGCGTTTATATCTTTTCTTGAGATTTCATGTGATAAATTATGAAAAATTGTAAAAAATTACGCAAAAAAAGTTTATCCACCCCCAAACGGATACTATGATTTAAGTGTGTTTAACAGAGTTTTAGTGTGTATTCTGCAACTTTATCGAATGTAAACATTGCGTCAATCTGTCATTTAGTGCTCTTGAAGTTTTCATGCTTAAAATTTCAGTTTTGTGTTCAAAATTGGAAGTTTTTTGTTTCATAATGCCCAAAAAAGATCAAATTTCGATCAGTATCCAAAATTTGAGTATTGAACATCACAAAACTGGTGAAAGCTACCGTGATATTGCCGATATTGTCCAGCTTCACAAAGATACGGTCGCTAGAATTGCACAGATGTGCAAAAAGCGTGGTTCTATCTCACCAGCTAAGCGATCGGGGCGTCCTTCAATGACAACTGACTAAATTGACAGAGTTATCGTGAAGAAGGCGGAGCTGGACCGGGGATTATCAGCTCCGAAAATTGCGACACAGATTGAAAACGAGTTTTCCATTCAACTGACATCACAATCCGTACGAAATCGTCTTCATAAGAAAAGTCTTAAGGGCAGAGTAGCTCTTAAGAAGCCATGGTTGTCCGCAATATATATCAAAAAAAAAAGATCGAAGTGGGCCCAGGACCACATTTCATGGACCAAAATTTTATGGTATCTGATGGTATGGTCTGATGGTATCAATGGTGACCCAAATAGCATTACTTTCGTCTCGTCTGACCAGATCACCTGGCATCACTGGTCCATGAAATGTGGTCCTAGGCCCACTTCAATCTTTTTTTAATTTTTTTTTGCGGACAACCATGGCTTCTTAAGAGCTACTTTGCCCTTAAGACTTTTCTTATGAAGACGATTTCGTACGGATTGTGATATCAGTTGAATGGAAAACTCGTTTTCAATCTGTTTCGCAATTTTCGGAGCTGATAGTCCCCGGTCCAGCTCTGCCTTCTTCACGATAGCTCTGTCAATTCGGTCAGTTGTCTTTGAAGGACGCCCCGATCGCTTAGCTGGTGAGATAGAACCACGCTTTTTGCACATCTGTACAATTCTAGCGACCGTATCTTTGTGAAGCTGGACAATATCGGCAATATCACGGTAGCTTTCACCAGTTTTGTGATGTTCAATACTCAAATTTCGGATACTGATCGAAATTTGATCTTTTTTGGGCATTATGAAACAAAAAACTTCCAATTTTGAACACAAAACTGAAATTTTAAGCATGAAAACTTCAAGAGCACTAAATGACAGATTGACGCAATGTTTACATTCGATAAAGTTGCAGAATACACACTAAAACTCTGTTAAACACACTTAAATCATAGTATCCGTTTGGGGGTGGATAAACTTTTTTTGCGTAATTTTTTACAATTTTTCATAATTTATCACATGAAATCTCAAGAAAAGATAAAAACGCCGTATTTTCAATGGCAATGTGATAAATAAACATAAATTGATAAATCATGGAAGAACACTCATAAAATTAAACTGATTTTCACTAGAAAAACAAAAAAAAAAAATGTAAATTGGTAGGGGGGTGGATAAACTTTTTTTGCATACTGTACATGGTGAGGAAGGTGAAGAGCCTTGTTACTGAGCAGGGTATTCTAAGCACACTTAACAAAAGAAGTGGGCATAGGATCAACGATGATACAAAAAAAATATAGTTAGGTAATTTTTTGATGACAATTATATTAGAAGACCTATGCCCGGAGCAAATGATTTTGTTTCCGAGTTTAGAAATGGACGAAAAGAACACGTTTAAAAACGCCTGTTAATGATGTCCCTTAAAAGAAGCGTACATGATTTTTGTTGATAAATTTAAAGATATTAATATTGGTTTCACTGTATTTACACCATTGCGACCAAAACATTGCATTTTGCTTGATTCTACTGATATACATAATGTATGTATATGTACAATTCATGGAAATGTTAAATTAGTGATCAACAGTTTAAGAATTATGTCCCAAGATGCAATAATAGAACAAATGCTTTGTAATATTTCAATTAGAACAACTGATTGCTTTTTCATGAACATATTGAAGAGGAACTTACTTTGCTGTTAGAATCAAATGACAAACAAGATATTGTGCTTCAACAGTGGCTGAATACTGATCGTTGTAATTTGAAAACGATTATCAATCCTGTTGATGAGTTTGTTCCATATCTCGTTGATAAAATTAACAAACTTATAACTCATGACTTTATTTACTAACAACAGTCATCTTTTCTAAGAAATAAAAAAGAATCATTAAAAGAAGGGGAAATTCTAGCAATTAGCGATTTTTCTAAAAATTATTCATTCATTATCCAAAACGCTGCTCAAGGATATCACTGGAATAATTCTCAAGCAACAATAGATCCATTTGAAGTTTATTATAAGAAAGACAATAAACTTGAAAATGTTAGCTTCATTATCATATCAGAAGTAACAAGTAAAAAAACAATCGATAGATTTTTCTAAAATTACTTTTATGTCAGATGGGGCTTTTTTTTTGCAACGTCTCATGGAAAAGGTCCCTGTGATGCCATTGGTGGCACTCTCAAGCGAATGGCAAAGAGATTTTGGAAACACTATAACAACTCCACGATAATTATATAACTAGACAGATGAACAAACAGATAAAAATATCACAAACTACGAGAGAGTGCTGCCAATTCCGAATACGATTTGGCGAGGAATGCATCATGAGCCCTTTTCATATGAAATTATCGATTAATCAAAGTGAACTTAAGTGCTGATTGACAAAATTGAATCGCAAATTGAGCTTCTTTGGATTCTGAGATGATTTTGAGCATCACTGGTTTAGTTTTGTGTGAAAATGGCAAATTAAAAAAAAAAATCAGTACAGACATGAAAAAGTTTTTGTAAGAATTTTTTTTCCTTAAAAGTGCCCATCTCGCAATGTATGGACGGTTGGTAGTATTACCTATCTTGAGACAAAGTTTCATCCAAATCAAATATGGCAATTTTTTTTAAGTCGACTTCAAATTTTAAAAATCATTTTTTTGTAACGTAGGTCTCTAATGGATTTTTTTCAGTATTTTTTTTTATAATTTGGACAATTTGCCAGAAGCCATCGATACAACACATTTTTGTAGGAGTTGTCATTATTCCAACATATTTTTTTTAAAGAATTAAGGGTTGTCTAGATAAATTATTGAAAAAGAATATGCAAAGTGGCACACATCCAGAAAGTTTCATTGAAATCTGAAAGGGTGCTGCTAGCTCCGAATACAATTTGGCGCAAAATGCGTCTTTTTCTATTTGCTGTTTCTAAGAAGAAAATTCTCAAATATATATAAAAAAAAAAGTTTGTTTTGAATATCATGTTTGCTCATTCCAATTGAAGAAAATCTATTATCTCATAGTGTACCCTTTTTTTGAGACAATTTATATTTTCCAACGAGAAAAAATATTCATACCATAAGTAAACTAAATGACCTTAACAAGTGAACTTGTCTGAAACATACCATTCTTTGCGCACGACACATACTTTTTCTAAAAAACAGTAGTTGTTCGTCATCCTTGATAAAACTTTTGAATTTTGTTCCGTCCGAGGCATTTCTGATGTTACTGCAATGTTCACCATCCCATTGCGCTAATCTAGAAGATCCTAAATAACTTTCATACAATCCTGACAGCGATTCATCACTTATTCCTGTGTAAAAAATTTCGAAATCATTGTCAAAGTCGTACATCTGAAAACAAACAAAAATTAAAAAAAGTTATTCAAATACCTAGGGTAACCGTTTTGTAGGTCGATGTCAGCGCAAATATTGATGGCCATCACGATGTTAACCCTAGGTCTACTATAAATTGATTAACGGATTAAGGATCAAAGAAATTGCAATAAAATATCTATTGACGGTAAGCTCCAACTATTTAGTATGTACTATCTTAGATCCCGATCAAGTTTGTTCACTGGTGCTGACATTTGACTTAACATAGGTAATCTAGAGAAACCATAGTGGTTAAAAGTGTCATTTTTGGGCGCTTAATGGTTCAACTGCAATGAAGCTTGCATATTTTGTTGTATCAGCGAAAAATAGGGCAATTCGAAAAGCAGAACTTTAACTTGAACCATGAACGATTGAATTTATAAATGGGACTGATATGCGATAATTTGGCTTAATATGACAAATTGACTTCATGTTGTTTTTACAATTATCGTGATCAAAGCCCATAGTTTTATCGCATAATATGAAAGTAGATGTCAATTGATAGTAGATAGTGTTGTTATTTCAAAGCTTTAAAAAGTAGAAGGGTCTGTGCCTATGGGCACGAACGGAGGCTTGACGTAGGACCGCTAGTGGAAGTAACAAATAAAGGGTGTCCCACATCAAATTGCATCACGGAAAAAAACGCTGTAGAAAATTATCTAGTTGACCAATCGTTAATAAAATACAACCCATTAGTAAGCTTTTGGCATATTTATTTCATTCAACTTCAATACCATAACCGTACGTTCACACTTTACGCTTAACTCAACTAATTAGGTTCTGTACAACATCTGGCTGCAACTTCTTCTCTACGGAAACCAACTTTTTCTTCATGTCTTCCTCAGATTTGACCTCCTTGGGATGCTTCCGCAGTGCCTGCATCATAATATATTTCGATGGGTCTTAGTTCCGGTGCGTTGGGGGAGTTCATGTCCTTGGGTACGAAAGTTGGGTTGGCTTCGTACCACTCCAGGAAAACATTTGAATAGTAGTATGAAACTAGAACCGGCCGGAAGATCGTAGGGGCCTCCTGTTGCTTCAACAAAGGAAGCAGACGCTTTTGTAGACACTCTTTGAGGTAGATCTCCCCGTTTAAAGGGTGTCCCACATCAAATTGCATCACGGAAAAAAAACGCTGTAGAAAATTACCCATTGAGTATTTTCTCTTGAAAATTTGTGTGGAAGTAGTTTAGAGTGTATTGTTTACACTGTATTTTTATCGCTGTCCGTTTTTCGAAAGTTGGAAAAAAGCGTCACCCGAAAGCAACGTCGCTAATTGATTTTGCGCAAGCACCTGGAAAATCGTCAACTCTTTCATTGGGACATCGGAAAAACAACTCGGGATTATTCAGTCAACGGTGAGTCGTATGATTAAACGTACTACGAAACTCGAGCATTGAACGGAAGGAGAAATGCGGTCACAATGGATGTTCTATTAGTGATCAGGATCACAAGATCACAAGATCGTGTCGTGAAAGCGATTAGCAGAATCCCAATGGTCAGGAATGTGGCCAAAAAGTTGAATCTGTCCAAGTCTTTCGTTCAGAGAGCCAAGGACCGGGAGGGACTGCATACGTACAAATTGTAGAAGGCTCCAAATCGTGACGAACGGCAAAATACGGTGGGAAAGTCACGGGCCCGGAAACTATACACCCAGATGCTGACGAAGCCTCATTGTCTCATCATGGATGATGAGACTTACGTCAAGGCGGATTTCCGGCTGCTTGGGGGGCTACTGTTTTTCACCGCCCAGCACAAGTGTGATGTTCTGGAGGAAGTAAGGAAGCAGAAACTTTCAAAGTTTGCCAAGAAATACATGATTTAGCAAGCGATCTGCTCATGTGGCAACCGAAGTGCACCATTCATGACTACCGGGAGTCGCGGTGACTTTCCAACTTTCGAAAAACTGACAGCGATGAAAATACAGTGTAAGCAATACACTCAAAACTACTTCTAACCAATTTTTTTAGAGAAAATACACAATGGGTAATTTTCTACAGCGTTTTTTCCGTGATGCAATTTGATGTGGAACACCTTTTATGTTAATCATTTAGTTCTTAACTCTTTCCGTTTATGAATTGGTGGCCCTGAAATGGGCCGGTTGATTTTCAAATTGTAACCGACCACACCAGTGCAAAGGCCTCAAAATCCAATATCAATCTTAGTAAGAAATTAACCAGTAATAGACCCCCATACGGTAGTAGAAAAATACACAACTTAACAGCAGCAGTGAAAATGCCGCACATTTCCAGGGTCAGTTGTTTATAAACAGTTGCTACCGCGTCGTCAGCGATGCGCGCTGGCTTAACTAGGTGCTTCGCGAAAGGTCAAAGTAAACATTGATGAGTAAGCATCCTACATAGCCGTTCCTACCGCGAGGAGCATTAATTCTTGTTAAAAAAAAAACAGACACCGATTTTCCAAGAGAAAAACTATCTGTCTCGCTTTATATGTACATACTGGAGAAAAACTATTGTGTAGAGTTTAAGTAACAAATTCATGTATAAAAGGTTTCGAAGAATAAAGAATCGGGGCAGTTGTTCTGATGAGTTTATTATCCGAGGTTTGCTAGGTGCGGACGAGCACAGTTCCAACCTCAGGATAACTGATTCATCAAAGAGCTTTTTCCATACAGTAGAAATGGAATTGCACTGTCTTTCATTTCACGGAGAAAGAAAGACCACGCGAGTTGTTGCTCTACGTTGGGCGCTTCACCACGGGAGTGAAACATGGATGCGCAGCGGAGTATGGGCGCTTCACCAGTGCAAGTCGATGCCGGAAGCCTTTTCTCCGGTCGATGTGGGTGCTTTCGTCGTCGTCTCAGTGATGTCACATATACAGATTTATCTGTAATAATACAGATTTTCTTTCAAAATTTTGAAACAGATATCTGTATATATATACAGATTTTAGATTTTTTTTAAATATACGGATTTTCCAGATTCTTCAAATTAGTGGAATATATGTTCAACTCTGGATTGTATTTATTAATATCTATTAATAATCATTTCTTCCTTTTGAGTAGTTACGAGCACCTAACCAAATACCAATTTTTCACTTTTAATTGTATAATCTTCGTTAATTTTGAACGGACTTCTGATGCTCAGATGTTTTGATTTCTGATTGCTCGTTAAAAGGGTTGTTAGTTATTTTCATTCTTATTGTTATTTCATCACATGGTGACAGGTGCTATGATTATTATTATTATTTTTTTTTATATCTCGAATTGGTAAACAACCCACAAGCTGATTGATTACAGTTTGTGAGTCGAAGGGTCAACAAGATACTTTTACATTTGACTAGCGTAACATCGGAAATAAAGAATATTCTATGAGATTCTACTAAACATTCAAATAAAAGTTATGTGTTGCGACAAAATACAAGAGAGTTGAAAAACATATGAACACGTGAGCATGCGCAATGTGTCGTTTCTTCGATTTGCGCTCTATCGTTGCGTCCGTGTTTGGGGTTTTTCGTTACATGACTAAATTTTGATTTTTTTTTAATGTGACAGCACAGAAATTAAGAACGTTGTCCTACGTAAAAATAAAACTTACTAAATTTAAAAATTTCTGCATGTATGGGTAAAACTGCAAGTGGCAAGTGAAACACATGTATTTGCTTCGGTATAATTTCCTCCAAACGAGTGATATTTTTTTTGTCTAGTTTACCCTCTGAAGTAAAAGTACATATTTATGGGGACTTTAACCAACGCAATGTTGACTTTATTTTTGATATGGACAATGAAAGCATAAGTCTTTGGGGAAAGTGCAAATTTAGGACTTAATCAAATTAACAAATATTCATGAAGATTTCTTTGGGAGTTCATCATTAACTCCCATATGGAGAAATAAAATGTTACACAGCAATCGAATATTCTTTATTTGTTCACAAAAATGAAAGAACCAACGACTGTGAATGTAATGAAATCTTTGATTACAATTCAGCAAATTATGATAACATTATGAATCGGAGCCGAACCAGCCCAGGGATGAAAGTCTCTTAATAATGATATAAAAAAAAAAAACATTAGAATTACATTGAACATTGTCGATTAAAACATAAAAATAAACGTTCTAATTTTCCACGGAACAACCTCCATATTTGTGTATTTAGCTGAGAAAACCATTTTCTGAAAGTTTCAGCTCATTTGGTTCTAAGATGAGCTAGCGCTTTTAGTTTGAATTTTGTATGGGCAATTTGGATAAAATATATTTAAAAAATATAGGAACTCGATCGATCATAAAATCAGTTTACTTATTCTCGACTTGATTCAGATTTTAAAAACATGTAGTTCAGTTAATGAGTAATAATTTTTCTGAAGATTGCATCATGAATCCAGTTAGTTTTATTGAGATATTCGCTCTTGAATGTATATGAGCATTTTGTATATTATAAATTCAACCAAATCTACTATATGAACATTAAACCAAAAGCGCCAGCCCGTGTAACGTCAAAAACAGGTGAAACATTCAGAAAGTGGTTATCGCACCAAAAGACACGAGCCTGTATGATGGCCTGTGGAAAATTTGAACTTTTATTTTTATTTTTTTTTTTTATATATAATAATTTATTTGTACAGGCTCAATCGAATAAACTTTACAGAGCCGAGTTATCATTTACATTATACATGATTAATGTCTTAAATCTAGAGTTAAAGGAATTGAACCGATTACTCGCGGTCGTCTCGAGGTTAGTGGAGATTTACAATTTTTTGGATGGGGAAAGGGAGAAGGAGGTTTGAAATATGATTTATTATACAAATATTTAATTAATCCTAAAACATGAACTTATTTCTATTCATCTTGAAGACAAACATTAAAAAAAAAACCTACACGCACAATACACAAACTAAACACAAGGTTAATCAAACTTACAATCTAAGGTTAGTATTCTTAAAGTAAACATATATGAGTTTCATAAACTCCAGATCACGTCTAGCCAAAATATCCCGAACTGGAACATTAGGTTGTCTACCTCGAGCCCGAAGGGAATCGCACAGCTCAGATCTGACTCCACGATGCTCAGCACAAGACCAAAGGATGTGATCGGCGTCTTGGTAACCTTGTCCACATTCACAGAGATTGCTGTCTCCCAGCCCAACACGAAACAAGTGAGCGTTTAACGAATAGTGATTGGACATGAAGCGAGACATCAGACGAATGAAGTCTCGACCCACATCCAACCCCTTGAACCAAGGACTCTTCGACACCTTAGGGATGATCGAGAATAGCCATCGTCCCAAACTTCCTTCACTCCATTTATTTTGCCAGCTGGTGAGCGACTGTTGACGATAAATGAAGAAAAATTCATTGTAGGCGATTTGTCGATCGTAAATATCGCCTTGCATAGCGCCCACCTTAGCAAGTGAGTTAGCCATCTCATTGCCCGGAATCGAGCAATGAGATGGGACCCATGCAAAGGTGATGACAAAAGATCTTAAAGATAAAGCACTTAAAAGCTCTCGTATTTTCATGAGAAAATACGAGGAGTGCTTTACCGGCCTCATAGAGCGAATAGCCTCGACAGAACTGAGACTATCCGTAAAAATAAAATAATGATCTGGTGCAAGTGAGGCGATCGTTTCTAGCGTATAATGTATTGCTGCCAGTTCAGCAGCATATACGGAACAAGGAGCTTGAAGCATTCGAGAGGCGCTATGAAATTCGTTAAAAATACCAAAACCAGCGGACGACTCTATTAGTGATCCATCTGTGAAGAACGATCTTGCGGAATCAACTTGGCCAAACTTTGCAGCGTAAATTGACGGAACAATCATGGAACGATGATGTTCTGGGATTCCACGAATCTCCCGCGTCATAGATAAATCAAAACTAACTGAATTGCCGAAGTCGGAGAAGCATACACGATGGGGATTATGC